TGTATGCTACACACATACTTCACCTATTACAAGAATGTATGCTACACACATACTACACACATTACAAGAATGTATGCTACACACATACTACACACATTATAAGAATATATGCTACACACATACTACACCTATTACAAGAATGTATGCTACACACATAAGAGTGTATGCTGCATACATGCTACACCTATTGCAAGGATGTATGCTACACACATACTACATACATTACAAGAGTGTATGCTACACACATACTACACACATAACAAGAGTGTATGCTACACACATAGTACACCTATTACAAGAATGTATGCTACACACATACTACACACATTACAAGAATGTATGCTATACACATATTACACCTATTACAAGAAAGTATGCTACACACATAAGAATATATGCTACACACATACTACACACATTACAAGAATGTATGCTACACACATACTTCACCTATTACAAGAATGTATGCTACACACATACTACACACATTACAAGAATGTATGCTACACACATACTACACACATTATAAGAATATATGCTACACACATACTACACCTATTACAAGAATGTATGTCTACACACATAAGAGTGTATGCTGCATACATGCTACACCTATTGCAAGGATGTATGCTACACACATACTACATACATTACAAGAGTGTATGCTACACACATACTACACACATAACAAGAGTGTATGCTACACACATAGTACACCTATTACAAGAATGTATGCTACACACATATACACATTACAAGAATATATGCTACACACATACTACACACATTACAAGAATGTATGCTACACACATACTAGACCTATTACAAGAATGTATGCTACACACATACTACACCTATTACAAGAATGTATGCTACACACATACTAAACCTATTACAAGAATGTATGCTACACGCATACTACACACGTTACAAGAATGTATGCTACACACATACTAGACCTATTACAAGAATGTATGCTACACACATACTACACCTATTACAAGAATGTATGCTACACACATACTACACACATTACAAGAATGTATGCTACACAAATACTACACCTATTACAAGAATGTATGCTACACACATACTACACACATTACAAGAATGTATGAAGAACATGATATCAAAGTTGACCAAAACTATGCATTTATGGTATATATTATTATCGTTGAAAATAGATTTGAGGACATTAGGATCAATGACCAAATTTGCTGGGGCAGTTCGACTGGTACCCATGAGATATATATCAGTCACATATTTCACATAATCTTGAAAATGTTTGGCTATAACGCTCGTTCGGTTTGGAGCCATAAATGCTGCAGTCAACCCGAAAAATTTTTACATAAGCAAAATGTAGCGAAACATACATTGTCCTGACTAGTATTTAATAATTCGCCAGTTTTCGGGGAATAACTTATTAAGTTCTGCGTGGCTTATATTATCTCTACTCCACCAAGCTGGGATATCGTATGGGGACTTGATACTTTATTAATGGGGACAAGGATCCTAATTTTAATCAACAAAATAATTCCAGTGTAATTTTTGTAGCAGATACTGTCTATTTTCCCCCGTCTGAAGCATGACCCGGTCTTTCTTTTTAAATCTCAGACACCCTGCAGTCACCCATTTGACAAAAAAGGAAGTGTAGTCACATTTCGCAAAAAATGTTTTCTTAGGGACTGATAATTTATTTATAGGGATGGGTGTGCTGGTTTGACTGTATCACATGTTGCTGACAAATAATATTCCTGATAAATTATATGGTCTATTTTTGAAAATATTTTAACATCAAGCGGTGCCTCTGTTTCGCTTGATTCTTCTTCTGCATTTTCACCAGAATATTGGTTTGCAAGATGTAAAATCGGATCGTATTGATCCGGTCTAACATCCATTTCTGAAATGACATCAGGAACATCTTTATTGCTTCAGAATCCATGGACATAAGTTGTGAGGTAAAATCAAAGAGGAATCCGTCAGCAACAGGCACATATGACTTCATGTAGCGTGATATCCCCACAGCTCATTAAATGTGTTTCCATTATTGGCGGAAATACGAGTACGTCCTGTTGTGTTTTTATTGCGATTTTATAAACGTTTTGTTCAATTTTAAGCACGGAAGGTGACTTTTAGAATGACTTTACCCCTATGAAAAGTTTTGTTTACGTTAGTATTCTCCTTTAAACAACCACATTTTTAAACGTAGAATTTTTGTGATTTTAAATTATGGCTAAATTTGACTACAATCGCCTGCGGCTGAAGAGATGATATAAATCCAGCTCGGGTCCATGCAGGTAGCAAAAGTAATGTAAGTCCCCATGGTCTCTAGCATGGGGATCACCCTTCAGTTGCTGGCGATGTATATCCTGTTTTATATTGTGTATTGTCCAAATAGTGTTATTATCTTAATGTTACCCGCTATTCTTAATTCTAGCACGACATTGTGTGATACTCAATTCTGATTGGCTGAGAGCTCATCAAAACCGTACTGAAATGGCAGTTTAAGACCGCTAATTAAAGTGACGATTCACCGCGTATGAATACAACAAACTCGTTGATCATTGTTTGTACACAAACATGTCGGACATCGGCAATTTCTATCTCGGCAGCATCTTTGGTGTCTTTGAAGTATAAAGCGAACAGTGAAGAAACTACGAAGCTGGAAAATCCGTCAGCAGCGCAAAAGCGGCAGTATATTCAAACCGGGTCCAGATCTACGCGTGTTGACATCGACAACACACGTCGGCCCACACGTCCAAGTATTTCCGTGAATAAAGTTAGCGGCGACTTAACTTAGCGAGTTCACGGCTTGAATTTGGGCGAGTCGATTGTCATACAGTAGGGGAGATCAATAATTCGCTTGAGAAAAAAATCAAATAGTTATTCTTGTTCACAGTATAAACTGTATTTTTTTTATTTATGTATGCTACTTGTTACAAAAACAAGCATACTGGTTCCTGAAATAAAGCATTTATGTTGTTGAAAATGCCTTATTTTGTTCATTACACAACCTGTCCCTCAACGGGACGATTCCAAGCGATTTCCAGGAAAAAGGCCCCTTCGCGCATTGTGTTCTTGCGAGCAAACAAGTTCGGTTTTAAAACGCTTATCAGTCGTGCTAGAATGAAGATAAAGCTACTCTGTTTTTTACATTACATTTAGCGGTCTTGAAAAATTGAAAAGAGAGTAGCTTTATCTTCTAATTCCAACTAAGACATTCTAGTTGTTTTACTGTCCTTCGTTGACAGGTTTATATAATACACATGTATATTCTTTTTAATGTCAAATTTGTTGAACCATTTCCGATGTGACGTAAAATTGTAACTCACTCTCCAACTACAACTTTAACACAAGACAGAATCGGCTCATACCACAGTTGGAAACTTGACAGTAGTTGGTCTCGTACGATGTAAAGGCCCGCACTACTCCTCCAGTGTGAAAGGTATGTTGTTAACGTGTCCCAGCCTCACATTTCTTTTGTTTCCTGATTGGAAAAATACTTGAACCTTCGCGACCACTTCATCATCATGTTCATGATTGTGATGTATCGGGACAGCAGTGGCAGAATAGCTAAATTAATGGTCCCTGTTGAGGTATTAAGGAGGACTCCCCGAGCACGCATGCGCACGAACAGCGAACAGCATGGCGACCATATGCTCACATGTGTACTCACGCAAACGTGAATAAAATACTGTTATACTCCCCGTTGAGTGTAATACTTGACATAATTGGCGACGAGGTGAAACCTCTCCAACCATCTCTACGATGTCTGACTGCAGTAAGTTTGGAGAATTTAACCCAGCTGTGGAAACCTGGACTTGTTACACCGAACGGCTCTCGAAGCACACTTCACGGCGAACAAGATTGACGACGCTGACATACGGAGGTCGATTCTCATCAGTTGTGTGGACCAAAGACATATGGACTCATTCGGAATTTGATATCTCCTGCCACGCCAAAGGATAAACCTTTGAAGAACTTGTGGAAGTTGTTCAAACTCATCACGATCCACGACCGTCGGCTATTGTGCAGAGGTACAAATTCAACACATGCTTTCGTCAGCCAGGTCAGTCTATTTCTGAATATGTGGCAGAACTACGGCGCTTAGCCGAATCATTGTGATTATGGGACAGAATTGGAGAAAATGTTGAGGGACAGGATAGTATGTGGTGTTGCTAATGATGCAATTCAGAAGAGACTTTGTTTGAAGCAGGATTAAACTACAAACGTGCTTTAGAAATTGCTCAAGGTATGGAGATGGCAGCTAAGAATATTGTTGACATTCAGAATCCAGCAGGAAAGAAAGATCAAGCATCTGCAGACATAAACTTTGTAAAGAAGAAACAGTATTCAAAACCAAGAGACAGTTCACACAAGTTCAATAGAAAGGACAGACCTCAACCTTCACATGATAAGGGAAAGGACGCAAGTGCTTTAGGTGTGGTGTGAGACGACTCACATAACCCTGATCAATGCAAATATGTGGATGTGGAGTGCAGTTATTGTCACATCAAAGGACATATCAAACGTGCTTTGTTTCAAACGTAAGCGGAGACAAGGCCACCAAGCAAATCTTCTCGAGAATGTCGATCAGTCAGACATAAGTGAAGCAGAAGAAGAATATGAACTTTACACCATAAGTGAACCAATGTCTCAACCAATCATGATAACAGTACATCTCAACGGCCAGTCCGTAACCATGCTATTTGACACAGGTGCAAGCATCTCCATCATGAGTCTTAAAACGTTCAAGAGCATTTGAAGACAGAACAAGCCCCTCAGCTCAAAAAAAGTTCATTAATCCTACGGGGTTACACGGAAACATTGTGGACTTGATAGGATGTGCAGAGGTAAACATCACATTCCAGAACCAAACAGTTACATCACAACTCCTTGTAGCCAGAGGTAGAGAGACCCAGTCTGTTCGGAAGAAATTGATTCGACTGTTCAATGTGACACGTTTTGATGAACTGAACAATGTATCATCTTCTCCCCAGGACATCGAGGATGTGCTCCAGACATACTCACATATTTTCCAGGAACAAGGTGGAATCAAGGGTATGGTTGGTAAGATATACATTCCACCAAACGCAAAGCCAGTGTTTCTCAAAGCACGACCACTTCCTTATGCCATGAAGGAAAAGGTCGACAAGGAACTTGACCGACTCCTTGCAGAAGGAATAATAGAATCAGTACAACACTCGGAAGTGGGCCACTCCGATAGTCCCTGTACTCAAGTCAGATCACACAGTGAGACTCTGTGGAGACTACAAAGTCACAGTGAACCAAGCATGCAAGCCAGACCCATACCCAATTCCAAGGATCGAAGATCTGTATGCTAAACTCTCCGGAGGACAATCGTTCACAAAGATAGACCTCCGTGGCGCCTTGCTCCAGCTTCCTATCGACGAGAAGTCGAAGGACTACACAACCATAAACACCCATAGAGGGTTGTTCAGATTCAACAGATTGCCTTTTGGAATTTCATCCTCACCGGGCATATTCCAGCGCTGCATAGACAATCTCTTACAGAACATTCCTATGACTGGTGGTTACCAGGATGATATCATCATCTCAGGTCAGGATGATACCAAACACATTGAGAACCTCACCACTGTGTTGGAGAAACTTTCAACAGCAGGCGTAAGGATCAAGAAAGAAAAGTGTGTTTTCAAAGCTCCAGATGTTTGTGTATTTAGGGCATAGAATCAGTGCGGAGGGCCTACACCCACTATCAGAGAAAGTGGATGCCATCAAAGATGCACCCGCTCCTACAAACATTACTGAACTTAAGTCATTTCTGGGTTTACTAAATTACTATGGGAAATTCTTGCAAAACCTATCAACGGTCCTAGCTATTCTACACTACCTTCTGAAAAAGGACATTAAGTGGCATTGGTGTGCCAAACAGAACGATGCTTTCATAGAAGCAAAAAAGACTTCTTAACTCAGCAGAAGTCCTGGTGCACTTTGACAGTGAGAAAGAACTTATTCTTGCTACAGACGCATCACAGTACGGACTGGGTGCAGTCCTCTCTCACAAGATGCCTGATGGGTCCCAGCGTCCCATATCATTTGCTTCACGAACACTCAACCAGGCAGAAAAGGGTCGAAAAAGAGGGACTCTCTGTCATATTTGGAATTAAAAGATTCCACCAGTATCTCTACGGGAGACACTTTCTGATGTCAAATGACCACAAACCCCTTCAGTTCCTGTTTGGAGAAAAGAAAGGGATTTTGGATATGTCTTCTCCGCGTATCCAGAGGTGGGCAATAACCCTGTCTGCCTACAGCTACTCCTTCGTCTACACTCCAGGAAAGGATCTTGGTCATGCGGATGCCATGAGTAGGTTACCACTACACAATGCACCTTCCTCGGTTCCCACTCCTCCAGAAACGTTGAATCTAACAGAATTCTTCGATTCAACGCCAGTGACTGCAACAGACATAGCTGCATGGACGAACCACAATCCACTGCTTTCACAGGTGAGAAGATTCACCAACAGTGGATGGCTATCATCAGTGAATGACGATTCGATGAGACCATTCTTCTCACGACGAAATGAACTGAGTTCACACGGTGGTGTGATACTGTAGGGACAACGTGTTGTTGTACCTAAACAAGGTCGCGTACAGCTACTTGAACTGCTACATGAGGGACATCCAGGAATGGTGAAAATGAAGATCACGCCACTATGTATGGTGGCCAGGTGATGGATCAAGAAATTGAAGAAGGAAGGTGAAGACCTGCGACACATGTCAGGTGAATGGGAAAAGCCACCCCTCCGTTGAACATTCATCCGTGGAGTATCCCAGTGGCCTCTGGCAACGACTGCACATCGATTATGCCGGTCATCTGATGGGAAAGATGCATCTGGTTATAGTAGATGCTCATTCCAAATGGATTGACGTACACGTATCAAACTCAGCAACATCCGCAGCAACCATTCAGAAGCGTCAAAGAAAGTTTTCGCAACCTTTGGCCTCCCAAAAGACTGTAGTATCGAACAATGGCGCATGTTTTTCCAGTACTGAGTTCAAGATGTTCATGGACAAAACGGAATCGAACACATCTTCACTACATACCATCCAGGATCAAATGGCCTTTGTAGAGAGATCGGGTTCAGACCCTGAAAGAGGGAATCAAGAAAAAATGAACTGGCGAATAGTAGATTCGAAGGCTTAACTCTCGGTTCCCTATTCAGATACCGTACTACTTCACTCCATCACGAGGGAAGTCCCCTGCTGAGCTAATGATAGGGTGAAGAATGAGAACCGGTCTGGGCTGGTCCATCCTGATGAGGTCAGGAAAATTGTGCGACACCAGAGTAAGCAAAAGGCCTATAAAGATGATCATGCAACACACCAAGACCTTTCGGGGTGGTGATTTTGTCTATGCCACTAACTTTGGCAGTGGTCAGGGGTGGATCCGGGAACTGTGCTGAAAAAATAGTCAGTTCCATCTGTGATGTTCATCTGGCTGATGGTCGCGAAGGTAATGCGCACACATGAATCACATGAAACAACGCTTTGAAGCACCAGAGCACAGATCTGAAGTGATTCCGGAGACAGTCACCTTTACTCGACAGCTGGACAACATGCAGGCAACTCCAACCAGCATTCCAACAACGCAGGATGAGGTGCCGACGACTAACCATATGGCACTACAGTAAAGGTGACACGGTCATCGGACAAATCAGAGATCATCATTCTGCGGCGCTCTTTGTCGAGCCCTCAAAGCTCCTGTGCGACTTGACTTGTAGACTGTAAAAATCAGTGTTCTGACATAGTTCTAGTCAAAAAGACTTTAAAGTTTTAGTTTCATTCAAATAAGCTTTATTAACACAAGAGACTTTTAATTGAGTTGAAGTTAATTAATAATTTCACCCTATTGTATATCTCATATCTAAAGAAGGGGAGAAATGTGATGTATCGGGACAGCAGTGGCAGAATAAGCTAAATTAATAATGGTCCCTGGTGAGGTATTATGAGGACTCCACGAGCACGCATGCGCATCGAACAGCTTAACAGCATGGCGACTTCATTATGTGCTCACATGTGTACTCACGCAAACGTGAATAAAATACTGTCATACTCCCCTCGTTGAGTGTAATGCTTGACAATGATTTTCTCTCATCTCTCTCTACTGGTTTCTAGCAATACATGT